CGTAAAGAGAAGAGCCGCGTGGGCTGAGGAGGGGGTCTCCGATTCCCGCTCTGGGCAGGAGGCGTTTCTTTCTCTCACTCAGTCTCACGGTTTTTTTTCCCCTTCTTCCTCAAAGGCTCCGGGCGTTTTCCCGGTTTGTCTTCCTCCTCGGTGCTACCGTGCCTCAAGGCTTTAACTCGTTCTCCATCCTGCTTGCCTTTCTCATCTGGGCGGGGAGCTCGCTCTTCTGTTGGGGAGCGACCGGCGAAAGCAGGCAGCTGTTGTGCGGGCAGCGGGCGGGGCGGCACGCTGGAAGGCAGAGGCTTTCTGGTGGATTTACGCCTTTCTTACGGTTGAGTGTTAGGGTTCAGTCCCGCCGCGTCTCCCATAATACCTACGTTCCTAGGCAGCTATGGGAATCGGTGGTTAGTTTCTTAGGGTCTAGTTTAATAGATAGTGGGTGGAGACTTCACTGTGATGCTACTGTGCTTTCCTTGTCAAAAACTGACTCGGGCTGTGTCGTGTTCTTATGTGAACTAAATAGAATTTTTGTGTTCCTGGTGGTAAAAATTAGAAATGGGTATTTCGTCGCCTGAAAATGGAGCGACAAATAAATGAACGGTATTCTCTGTTTTCAGCGGTTACATATTTTATATCCTTTAGTTAGGAGGACTGGTTATGTGCGTAGACCAGAAATTTGTGCTTTAACATGTCATGTAAATTTTTAGGTGAAAAATTTTTAGGAAACTGTTTTATTCTGTGGCACCGCTCAGTTGCTTCTGTTACATATCTATCTAGATTGGGAGCTTTGCATTTCGGCTCTTAGCACTATCGAGGGAACTCCAAGTGTGCCTCTAGTGTGTAAGTTTGGACTCGGGAATTGTTTCGTCTAACTGCTGGACTGTCCTTGCCTTTATCCAGTGTACGATAAAAAGAATATTTGCAAATATGTTTGAAAGCATCACTGCATGATTACTGTTACAAACATCTGCTGTTTCTCTAGTGAGAGGCCAAGAAATACCTAATGCTAAGAGAGCAAGTTCACCTACTGATTAATTTCTAGAGAATGCATTTATGAACTCTGCTTAATTAAAAATATGTTTTTGGGTAGTATGCCTTCTGCCCTTCAGTCTCTCCATATGCAGCTCTTGGGTTTTGTTTTCAAAGTTTCCAGTTTGCTCCTCAATGGACTTAGGGTGCAGTATGTCTCTTGCATTTTGCCGTGAAGTTGCTCCTGAGTACAGTGAAAGAGGAAACTCCACTTAAGTGAGAAAATTAAAACCTCTTTGCTCTGCTGAGTATATTTGGAAATTCTTTCAGAATCGATTTGGTTTGGCTGCATTTCATACAAGACCAGTTCCAACGTACTGAGCATAGACCTAGATGGCCAGAAAACAGGTCTGTGTGTTTCTCCATAATTTGCAGGGCCAACGCATTCTTTACAGACAAAGGGTATGGCACAGTTGCAGCATTTTCTATTGTGGGGTGGATCAAAGGCAGTGGGCAGCACTGGTTGACTTAAGAGCCTTGATTCCTGTCAGCTTCTTGATAAGCTGTGGATGAGCCCTGAGGCTGTCAAGCAAATCTGTTGAAGAGATGAAAATCTTTGGACGTGAACTTAACAAGCACTTTGCTCGCCGTTTATCTTAGCGAAGGTGCTGCTGAGAGCAGAGCAGGTGAAACTGGTGGGAAGCGAGGCAGCCTTTACCAGTCCAGAGTGTGGTAAAGTTGTCTTGTCAGAGGAAAAGTGTTTTGCAGAGTGTTGTAAATTTTGATGAATAGGCACATTCTGGAAAATATTTCTGGGGAACTTCAGGCCAGCTTCGTGTGTTGAAACACTCTTAATACATTCTCCTGAAGAGTATTCATCAACTTTGGTAATGGGCACTGAAGGTTTGAATACCTTCCCTCAGTTGGGAAAGAAGTATCTTAAATATATGAATCTGAATGAACTCTTCTCATTTGCATAACGTTGTCACATACCTGTACTTAAACACTTAAACACTCCATTCTCAGCCTCTACCCGAGAAACATGTAAGGAACGAGAAACACATAAGGAATGGATAATTCTGTGTTATGCAGGTATTGCAACAGCAAGATGCAAGGCAGTCTTTATGAGAGGGGTGAAGTTACTTTCCAGAAGTGATAACTGACTACTGAGAAGTTTGCTTGTATTTATACATAAGATGTGTAAAACATCTTCTGGTATAGTTTCTGCAGTATTGACGAGGGCAGATACTGGCACGGGAATGAGACCTGTAGGCTTGTTCTAAAAATCGGCTGCTTCCAAGAAAGGAAACCTGCATGACGTCAATGGGAAGAATCAGATTTTAATTTTAAGTAAATAAATAAATAAAAACTTGATGCATTTAACTGATGCTGTCTGTCACGAGAAGGCACAAGGAAAAGCATTGCTAGTTTTTTGCCTTGAGCTTTTCATGAAACACCACTGTGAGTGTTTAAAACACTGTCATGACTAACAGTTTTGGTTTAGAAGCAGAGAGGACTTGTAAATTCTTGGTGTTCCCGTGCATTAAAGTTCTGTGTTCTTTAATTAAGTTACAGGAGCACTGTAAATAGGCACTGAATTTAAAGCGTGATCTTTGATTTATAACAGAAAATTCCCTTTAATCATCTACTAGAGCTAGTAATTTGTGGATTCTAAGACTTTTTGCCAGAGATTGGGATTTTAGCTTGAAGCCTATTTGGAGTATGGATTATTCCTAAAGTGGCGTTGCTTACACACTGCGTATTGTCACAACTGACTTACAGCTTTTGCTGTAGGAAGTTTTCAGGTGGGGCTTTAACCCATAGCGTGATACACTTTTGTTACAAGTCTCTGAACAGTACTAAAACAGCACAGTTTTGTATAGATTACTTACTGTAATCCTAACTCAATATTTGTATTTTTTTTTTTATAGCTTTCTTGTTAACCTTCTTTATCCACATTTGTTAAACAGTTGGGTAGGTGTACTCAATGAAGAATTCAGCCCCTTTTGCCATTTTACTTTGTGAAGCAAATGGGAGGACAGCGGCATTATTACTCGGTACAGCTTACATCTTTTCTGGGTATTAAAAATATTATTTTTACTTTTCTCAAATCTCGCTAAACTAATCAGTAATTAAATCCTCTCACATTTTTTATCTGAGTTCACATTTGAATGAAACAACCTGTATGCGAGGGTTGAGGAAAGAATTTTTTAACTTGAAGTGTACAATGTTTAAGATTTAACTTCTGATAGGTTTGGGTTTTTTCCTTCCTCTTTCTAATACTCCTTTCGTGCAATACAGGCAAATACTTTTTAGTAAAATAAGTTCTGATCTGTAATCAAAATTTGATACATCTAAACCAATGTTCTGTGTAAATGTGAACAGCTTATTCGGACAAAAGCAACAACAAAACTTGCTGCTGTTCCCTTCAACTCATTTAATGGAAAACAGAGTATTTTAAATAGGAATCACCTATTCCTATAGGGTAGGATCTATGTATGGCATCTGATTCATAATTGAATATGATGACTATGTGCGTCAAACACTTTGCAAAGATAGCTTGGCCAAAGTTGCCTTGTGAAGAAATAGCAAAATTTTAAAAATAAATTGGATTAGACTGAGTGCAGTGTGAATATTCACTTCTTGCAGGATTCATAGAACCGGCATGGATGTAAGTAGATTTATCCTCACCCTATGACTTTTTATAAACCACCCACCTTCTAGTTTGTCTTTTAAAAATAATCGTAGCAGAGAAACCTTTCTTCATTTTTTTTATCCATGATGTGTGTTCAAATAATGGATGTTATTCAATTTTATGAAGTAACATGATTAATTTTTATCTTCACTGGCAAATAGAAACATAAACTTACTGTTACAGAATCAAAAATGTTTGCTGCCTATTGTTAATTTCCATAGAGGCTAAGATTGTTGTTCAGTCTTTGACTCTTACAAAAATTCTTCTTCTTCTTCTTTTTTTTTTTTCCCCCCCTCCATTCCTAACAAGATTTTTTCCAAAACCAAGGCAGTTCAACAGAAAGATTTGGGGAAATAGTTAAGCTTTCTCTAGACATACCTTTTATTTTCCATAGAGCTCCTGCACTGACCTCTATCAGCCTCCAGGTTTCCTATTTAGAGCCACTGTGGCTGTCTCTTAATAGTTTTTGAGCTGCTGTCATTGTGCCACCATAGCTGCTATGCTGTGAGCCATGGTATGCAACCATGCGTTGTCCAACACATGGAGGCCTGTGGCAAAGTTTTAAGTTTTGTACTTAAACACAAAAAAACCCTGCAAAACCAACAACGCCCAAAAAACAGGGCAAAGCGGAGAATTCCTTGTTCTGGGAGTTGGGGAAACTACAGTATAACTCACTACTGCTGAAGGAAGAAATTGTTTCTGGATAAGAAAACTGTTTTTTTTTCAGTAAAGTGGTTGTATTTCTCCTAAGA